ACATACATACATACATACATACATACATACATACATACATACATACATAATGCACGTCAAACTACATATACTGAGTTAATATAAGAAACATCCGTTTACCCAATGAAGTCACTGAACGTCCGTGTGGCGTTCTCGTATTAAACTGATCAATGTTACAAACGCCAATGGTGTGATTATATACCTCCTGTTATGATGAAACCGGTCAGATACCTTGGCACCCGGGTCATCGGTCTGATCTCCTAATACCAGGACACCAGGTGGTCGCTTCCCCTAAATAATTGCAAAAACAACTGTGCACCTCGCCCTTCTACAAAAGCAGGATTAACCAGCCTTATAAACAAACACTAACAACAAATCACCGTATATATAATATTCTTACGTACACCAAGCAATCCCGCATCTCTGACTTCTTGAACTCTGAGCTCCTCACAGCACCCTGCAACCCTTTCTAATGCATCTCATTTCATGTGTATTAAACAATGCTTGGTGACACCTACAAACCATATTTTACAACTGCGTAAGTAATTGAGATCCTGGAGTATAAGAGTGTTTTTACGCCATCTAATGGCTGATTAAGCGATGGCTATAATGATGGGGATATAGCGTAGCTCACTCTTAAAAGCTCGCTCGGCTGTTGGTACGCCACCTAGTCTTTCCTATCGACTTAAAATCAGTTCTTATATCAAAGCGTCACATTTTCATTGCATAATATGATCTTTTAACCCCATCGCTTGTACGGTGTCGTTATACACTGTATATTCCCTTTACAGTAAGTTACTATATATGTAGATTTCGCTTGCGAAGAAGAAGCTCTAGTTGGCCAGTGTTTTACAATTAGCATCACATCTAACTAAATCACAACTAACACATTTGAATATAGTGTGCAACGTCAACTAACATGATGTGCAAAGACGTATTTAAAAAACGTCACTCAATGGAATGTACATGTTTCTTATTTGAGATTCTGGCTTAATATCTCTCTCGTGCATACCTTATTTGTTATGTTGTTGTACCCGACGTTGCTCAGAGGAAAACGCCTAGGGACAAATTGGAGAGAAAATCCCGAAACATATAATTACTTAAATCTTAGGATATAATAATATAAACTGAGACACAAAGACTCGCAACAGATAAACGAAATATGAAAGGATTAAACAATATTCTAACAAAAACAGTTCAAAATATTCTATGAGTTTATGTTGTCAAAGTCTTCTGAATATACATTGTGTAGAACATGCGGAACGTTATTATGAATATGCTTGTTTTTGTTCTGCATCAAAGTTGGTTAGTTTCATGGAAACGTTGAAATGGACATTTTCGGGAAAAATCTCACGAGCGTGTGACAATTTTCTTTCTCAAAAGTACGTATTTATTATAAGTATAGCAATCGTCATTGTATTGCACAGCAATGACATGGATGCGATTGGTTAAAAACTGTTTTGACGTGCCCAGTACAATCCCGTTTCTGCGAGCAAACGGACTGCTGTAATGTGGCATGAAATTACCAGCAAATGGTAGAACGGCAACTGAGGTGTAAAGACGGCATTTGGTGGAGATGCTGTAGAGTGAAAATCATTCATGCAGGATCTTCGCCGGCGCCCTTCGCCACGTGGCAGTCGACGACGTCGCATCGCAGGCGGCGGCAAGCGAGAGCGACGACGACGTCGGTGGCGCCGATCCAGGCGCGCGTGCCGGCGAGACGGCCTCCGAGCTGCGCCCGCCCGACCGCGTCAAACCCCGCTGCCCCGCCGGTCTCGATCTCACGCTGGAGCTCGGCTACAGTCGGCACGCGGGCGGCTGCGGGGAACGCGCGCGCCGCGACGCCGGGCCAGCGCACGAACGACGACAGCAACGTCTGAGCGTTCCTGTAGCCGCACGCCCAGCCGCGGTCGGCCGCCGTCGACGCAAAGTGCGCAGCGGTCGCGCAGAGGAGCAGCGCGGGGATGCGCGCGCGCAGTCGCTCGACGAGACCCCGCGTGCAGCATCGCTCGTCCTCGGCGCTAACGAGCGGCGCGGCGATCGTGCTCCCACGGAAGTCTCCCCCGCCGCCGCCGCCGCTGTCGTCCACAAGTCTCGCCACCTCCTGGCGGTCGCGCCCCGTCCGCTGGTCGTACGCGGAAGCGACGGCGGACACGCGCGTGGTCTTCGAAGCTCCGCTCGCAGCGTCGGCGTCTCCCTTCGCGCGAGCGAACCCATGTTTGCACTGGAGACGAGCAGCGATCGACGTCCGAGAATCCCGGGCATCGCACGACGCGCGAGCGAGCGTGGGGGAACCACCGTCGGGGTCTCCACCGGCGTCGCGAGGAAAAGCGATCGGAGCCGTCGGCGGGGCGTGCGAATCCTCGCTGGCGCAGACGTGACGCGCGTGGATGTGGTCCTGCGTCTGCGCCGCGCTCTCGCACTCCAACCCGCAGAACGGTAATGCCACCGCCACTACCCGATGACGATCGGCCTCAGCGGCGCCCTCTCTCGCAGACGCCTCGGCGACGCCCTCTCTCGCCGACGCACCGGCGGCGACCTCTCTCGCTGACGCACCGGCGGCGCCCTCGCTCGCCGACGCACCGGCGGCGCCCTCTCTCGCCGATGCCTCGGCGACGCTCTTTCTCACCGACGCCGTGCTTTCCCGCCGACGCGCCGGCGGCGCCCTCTCTCGCCGACGCACCGGCGGCGCCCTCTTTCGCTGATGCCTCGGCGACGCTCTTTCTCGCCGACGCCGTGCTTTCTCGCCGACGCACCGGCGGCGCCCTCTCTTGCCGACGCACCGGCGGCGCCCCCTCTCTTGCCGACGCACCGGCGGCGCCCTTTCTTGCCGACGCACCGGCGGCGCCCTCTCATGCCGACGCACCGGCGGCGCCCTCTCTCGCCGACGCACCGGCGGCGCCCTCTCTCGCCGATGCCTCGGCGACGCTCTTTCTCGCCGACGCCGTGCTTTCTCGCCGACGCACCGGCGGCGCCCTCTCTCGCCGACGCACCGGCGGCGCCCTCTCTCGCGTATACATCATACAACAACCCTCAGAAAGTGCGAAGTACTGAAAGAATAGCTGACAATATTTAAGCAACGCCCCAACAAGGTTATGTATTTCATTTACTCATACATATATAATATAATATTTTATTTGTAAACATTGCATTTTTATTAAGAAAATACATTTTTAGCAGTGAAATCTGGTCGATAGATATCGGGTAAAACAAATAATCTTAATTCTTCGAAAAATAATTCGCGCCAGTGTTTGTCATTATGACTCAGTGTCTAGTCGATTCCCCCCCCCCCCCCACACACACACACCTTCCGCATT